CAAGCAGCGAGTCCTTGTTTCAAATATGAAGCAGATATGCTAGAAAGAGTTCAACGACGAGCTACTAAGATGGTACAAGGTCTAGCTGGCCTATCTTATGAAGACAGACTGAGACACCTTAACTTATTTCCGTTATCTTACCGTAGAGTACAGGGTGATCTAATATTGGCTTATCCCATAATGAACGATGACCTTGGTATTAACATGTCTTATCTTTTGCTTCCGTCTAGAACCGATCATTTGAGAGGACATTCGAAGAAAGTTCAAAAACCGAGATCAAACCGTTTACGTCTGGAGTTCCGTTTCTCGCACCGAGTAGTGAATTACTGGAATTCCCTACCGGAACACGTAATATCAGCACCGTCTGTTAATATATTCAAAACGAGATTGGACCTCCACAGTATTACAAACTGCAAGGATTAATATAGGTCGACAGACCTCCTATCCTTATTACTGAAGACTGAAGACTGAAGTGATGCGCAATAGACAAGGCATGTTGGCCAACTTCATTTAGTCCATCGTTAATCAATATTTGTAGTCACACAAAAATAAGCTACAGATATGCAATGAGATAAGATGTACACACACATACGCCTATCTAGAAACATTCAGGGCTGATAAGCGAATAGTTAACAAGGCCAAAACGTAACTCAAGTAAAATAAAAAATTCGCCTCTTCAGAAGCTAGAATAAGTTGTATGGGCTTAACATAGTAACCGACAATACAACGCCACCTGTTTTTCGAGTCTATTTTATGAATGTGGTCTGACGTACACCTGAAATCAATATTCAAAAAGCCTCTGTTCTAAGTACAATGTGACTACCTAATTCGCAGGCATTTAAAATCATTTGGCTCAAGATCAGATGTTTGAGCTATAAACCACCAATCCTCATATCGGGTAACGCTGAGTGAGATGCTCTAATCCGTCACATAGCGATGATGACGTTTTATTCCAATAATTGTTGAATATTCATATTTATTTACGAGTCGGAGTTTATCTGTATGTCTGTCTGCAAAATCACAACGCACAAGACTATTTCCCAACTATGACGAATCGATGACTGAAATGAGTGTCGATGACACATAAAGTCGAATTGATGGCAAACGCTTATTTCTCCTAAAATTCTTCGTCAACTGGCAGTGAGTCACGAAGCGATGACACCAAGAGCGATGAAAGACGACATAAAGTGTGATGAGAGACTTTGGTTCAGAACGGAATACTAATATTGGTGACATGTGTGGCGCGGTTATTGTGGATAAACTCGATGAAAGAGCTAAAGCTGTGAAGTTTTGACAGTCGACCATATTACTTAATCATCTTTACAGAGAATACTTTATCATAATATGAAAATGATAAACACAGGACAAACGACCATAACATGAGCTGTGAGTTCGCGATCATTACCAGGAGAACTTTATTTCGTATTAATGTTCAATAACACACAACACTGTTGAATAGGTTTATCATAACTACATTTTAAGGCACTTCGAACTAAACTTCTGCAATAGTGAAATGTATCACCGAAAACCATTGAAGTTTTCCAAGCCATATGATGCTATTGAGTCCACTATGAAACGGTTTGTACCAGTATATCTTAAGCGTTCATTAATTCGAAAGTAACTTCAAAGAAACATGAACTTCAACCTAGGATCAATTCAATGCGTGATATGTATATTCCTTTAAAGCTCAAAATCCTTGTTTAGTTCTATGCATTGTTGTACGGTTAACATTGTTAATTACAATGAAATATCACAGCCTTCAGAACTTTTCTGACAATTACTAATTACCACTAACTTTAACATATTTTTTTCCATTTTTTTAATTGATCCTCTCCACATCTATACTGAAGTGGCCTTTGTTCTATCATTATACGTGTCACATATCTGACCATTTGTTTGTTTAACTTCACTAAATTTATTCATCGTCTTCCTTATTTATTTTTCACTAACCTTAGTGTTCATGATACATGCGAGAAAATCGGTTTTAGTTAATTTCTATCAAGCCGATTAACAGTGAAATATGTTCGTGATATCTTGACTAGTGAAAATTTGAATTTCTGATATTTTGTGTCTTGATGTAAGTCACTTCTTCTCAGTAAACAAATAATGATGCGAATGGAATTACTTCAAACAAATCTATTTGGTAGGGATGAACAGGGCGAAATATTTGAACTGACCACGTTTGGGTGAGTGAAGATTATTAGTAGCGTTTGATTCTTGTGCTTTGCCTTCATCATTAATACTTTTCTGAAGAGATAACACTCCCAAATACCAAAACAAAGACAAAAGAAACAGAAATGCATGAAAGTAATAATATAAACAATTAATTTCAGAAGTTGAGTAAAACAAATGCATTCAAAAAATAGTGAAATTAATAATATAAAATATAAAGGTTTTAACCAGTCAAATGTCTTCAGTTCTCCCGTAACACACTTCACGATCAGCACCTAAAGTGAACTGCCCCTTCACTGTATCAAAGTACTGTGACTGCTTTGAAGACCATATAGCCCAAAGGACGTTATTACGAAAGTGTATTAGTAGACGTCGGTGCAAGAAAGAAGTTGAGATCACCACCACATGAGCCAGTCCATGGCGAGTGATTAATTGATACTCATTGGTAGTATTTGGACCCGACAAGGATCTTTTAACTGTTAGACATTCAGTAATTTGGCTAGGGCTCAATAAAATTTCACTGGCCCTACAATACTCAACGGTCATTTAAATCGGTGCCAAACATTTTGGAATTAGTCAAGCACCAGAGGTTGCCAAATGACTGATATGAATCCGTCGGGCATTACCAAGTTGTAAGGCGAACGGACATTGGGGAGCAGAAACTGAGTGAGAAATAGCGAGCAATCATTAACTACTAGAAAGTTGGTTGAATATGAGGCGATTAACCATGGAAATAATGGAAGAAGAAACACGACGTTTTAAATTTCTATCAAGTGGCGTTAGAATAGATAGATTAACTGTAAATACAAAAGTATGGCCGTATAACAAAGTCGTGGTTCCGTTGTGCAAAGCTATTTATCAATTTGTAGTCACAGTTTGGAAAGCCGATGATTGCTGTTACAATCAGTAAAGGTCATAGACTACAGATCGAGAGTGATAGGGACACAATAAAGTTGTCTCTGCAGGATAATAAACGGTGAGTGCTGTATATGAGTTTAATAACTGAACCGAAAAATATCAAAGAGAGCACAAGAAACCAAGAATGCCACTCTGGACTCATGTCAATAATACCAGTGAAAAACACTGTCAGTGTTGGTTATGGACTACAATGTCGTTTTCAGTTTGAGGGAGACTAGCTTGACTGCGTAAACTTATGATTCGCGCCAATGATAGTGTCGTCAGATCACAAGTTGGACCGGAAAAGTCAATTATTCGAACAGTCGAATATTGTACCGGAACTATCTGTTAGATGACAGTCACGGGGAAACATTAATTCATAAAATAAAGTGCGACGTCAACGTTGGGTAGTCACAGTGGTTTGGGATGTGTCATAACATCACAGAAGAGTAACATCGTTCTTGTATATACTAGTGGCGGCACTGAAAGTTCGTTTGGGTATTGCTAGTCTTCCAGGGGTACAACCAGTAACGAGAGTAAAGCTACTGTCTGGTCAACACATTTCTCGACAAGGAAAATGACGTAACTAGATCGGGACCCTCGAGGTGTGAGATTGAAAATTAATAATTGTAATGCATTTAGCTTGTCCACAAGACTAGCAATCTTGCGTGCATTATGTGCACGTAGGTCGTTTAATTTAGCTATTAAAGACTCTATGGTGAGAATTTACATACTATTCGAAGTATGTGATATAATCTGTACGTAAGGTACCGTAAAACATATCAGCCATACTGGCTAGACTCTCCGAATCTAAAGGTTGGCTGGAAGAACAAAGAATTCGCCTTACCACCGTTGGAAAGCGTTGTAGCCAAATTTTCTTCAGTGAAGCATCATCACCTTCATAACGTCCAGTCAACTGCTTCATATAGCACAACAATTGAGACGGTGACTTGTTACTTAACTCACATTCATATAGCATAGGGTTTCGTTGAATAACGGCTTGGTTTAACTGATTATAGGCTTCCGAAGCTGAGACATTATCTGTAGAACCCGATACCTCACACAGGATTCCAGGCATGAAAGAGTATTTCGGAGCCTATGAACACACGTTATGAAGATGAAACTGGACATCCATCTGTGAAAATCATACACGTGAGTTTAACCCATTTAATGGCAGCACATTTATGTGGTTCAGAGCGTATAACCCCGTTGAATCGCTACCTTGGATAATATCGTCGGATTCGAATTAATACGTGGTAAAAATGCAAAAAGCAAACATTAAGAAAAGGAAAAGAAATACCGAGATGTTCGTAAAGAGACTCAAAATTGCAGTTTCGAAAGAAACGCAAGTGCTCATCAGATTAATGATTGATCCCAGTAAATTAGCTTACTCAAGAAATGAAAATGAACATAGTTAATAATGGTATAATAAGCAAAATCAATACTTAAAACCGAAGTGTCTGTTTACTAGTAAAGCAAAAGTGTTACAGATGATATTTAAAACAAAATGGAATAACAAATATCAAAATGGTGACGATTTTATGAAATAAAGTTTACTCGCAAGCCCCACCAAAGAAAAAATTACGGATAAGTTCACCTGATTAACAAAGTTTCATCTGCATGTGGTGGTACTAATTGTGTGATGGGGAAGATTAAGTCCGATAGTATTATTCAGTACCTCAATGTAGTTTATAGTGCCTAAAATGATGCTATAAAACTGTGATAATCTTTGATCACATGCTGTGAGCCAATAAATTAGAAGAACAGACTACAAAGATAGAGTTTATTTTCTTCAGTAACAGTGACAGTGTATTAGTGTAACCAAGTATTTTTTGATTGATACAGAGAAACAATTGATATTGAATATAAATTTGATTACATATTAAGTGTCGAAAATAGATAGAAATATGGCCTTTATTTTGTCGTTACACAATTAATTGAACATACACTTAACCATACTTTTAACTAGTTATCCACTACAGTTAGTGCAGTTACGTGTCTAGAATATCTGGAAAACCTGAAAACATATTGTAACATATAAAGCGCGTCTAAAAAATCATTGCGTTTTTATGCTTGTTCGTTAAGAGGATATTGGACACCAGTAAATGGCGGAGTCATTAAGTTTGCAGAGAGGTATATTGTGAATTGATTATATTCACATTTTAGATATTAATAGAGTGTTGGAGTTATTGGAAATACTTCAGAGATGCCCTGAAATACAACCATCAAAGTTGGCAGCCCTACAGCGCATACTGCAGTCAGACTTTTGCGACATGATTCGTGAAGTTTATGAGCATATATATACAACTGTTGATATTAATGGGTCGGAAGAAGTTAGTATTGTTTTGTTGTATTATGGGTTTTACACAAACGTAATTTTCTAAGCCTCAATGTTGTCGTTTATGCTACTGACTAATCCATTCATGTAAACTACTAGCGGAAGTTGTTGTCAACGTCTCCACTTGATTTATTCAATAAAGGATAGATGCTTTTAGAAGCCTACTAGAAAAGTGCCGTTACATGTTCTCAAGGCCCAAGCCTGAAGTTCACGGAGATTATGGAATGAGTTTGAAATCACAAGGTGAAATAGCTCAAAACCCACCACAATAGCTTAGGTATATACACTCACTGTACCCTTAAAACATGAGATTAAAATTACTTTATACTTTTCTACAGACTAGTTCCTTCTCCTTGTATCATACAATTATATGCAATCTTTTACATATTACTACCATTGAAGTAACTGCTTCTATGAATTTATTCAGTCTTCAGTTATAAGGGTGGGAGGCATACCACCTACATTAATCCTTGCAGTTTGTAATACTGTAGAGGTCCAATCTCGTTTTGAATACATCAGCGGGAGGTGCTGATATTACGTGTTCCGCTAGAGAATTCCAGTAATTCACTACTCGGTGCGAGAAACAAAACTCCAGACGTAAGGCGATTTGATCTCGGTTTTTGAACTTTCTTCGAATGTCCTCTCAAATGATCAGTCCTAGATGGGAAGAAAAGATAAGACATTAATGTCAGGGTCATCGTTCATTATGGGATAAGCCAATATTATATTACACCGTATTCTACAGCAAATAACGGAAATAAATTGAGTTGTGTTAGTTTTGTCTTCATAAGAGAGACCTTTTACATTTTATTCCCTCGTCGTTGGACTCGTTCCGGCATACCCGCCCCATACTGCGAGGGCGAAAAGCGAATGTCCGGCGCCTTAACCGGGTTGGTGGATACAAAGGGTTCACTCAGGGAAGTTGGAAAACCCTGGTTCCAAACCAATGGTGTACATAGGCCCTAGAATCCTGAGAAAACAAATGGCGTGTGAACCTATTGTTGATCATCGGCTACCAGTGGGGCTGAACCTCCCTATGTTGCTCCGCTACCTTATGGATTAGACCTTTATGTCAAAGATGATCTTCCTAAAAGGCCGCCTGCTTCTGTTTAGGCTGCTGGGTAGTATCTCAGCCCACATATAAATCAAACTATTTATGTGGCGCATATATATCTGGTGTCTTGTACCAACGTTTATGTGCTTGAATAAATAGACGTAAGGGGCCCAGCCAAGACGTGGTATCGTTCCGTCAAGTCATTGGCAACCAGACAGCCGTATTAGTCGGTGTAAACTACGTAGGTGATGTCCGCCTGATTATCGTAATCAGTGGTTAAAGACTTTGGATGACAGGGTTTGTAGTAGCGCAGGCGCATCTATTTTCTATCTGCCCAAGTTATTATCCGAATTCCTCATAGTTCTTTATTACATTAATTTGTTTTCTCTCGAATGATATCTTCGATGCCTAATCTTTCGTATTATCGGTGATACTATTACTACATCTACTATTCTGTGATAAGACCTTACAATTTCATCTTGTGTGCTAATGAGATATGACAATGTGAACCGATTTACATACATACTAGGCTCTAAGTAGTAACTGACCGACTTTTATTCTTCATTTTATTTAAACTCTTATTAGGTGAAAGCAAGTGCAACAGCCAAAGCTACTGTCGCAGCTTTTGCTGCAAGTGAAGGACACGCTCATCCACGTGTCATAGAACTACCAAAAACTAATGAAGGTCTAGGTTTCAATGTTATGGGTGGTAAAGAACAAAATTCACCTATTTACATAAGTCGAATTATTCCTGGTGGTGTTGCAGATCGTCATGGTGGTTTAAAACGTGGTGATCAATTGCTATCAGTAAATGGGATTTCTGTGGAGAGTGAACATCATGAAAGAGCTGTTGAACTTTTGAAATTAGCACAAGGTGATGTACCGTGGATTTTAAGATGTTTTTTCTCTATCAATACTTGTGATATTTCATTATTACAGAGTTTCATGTTAATATCCTTATTATCACCTTCTCACAATGCTAGAATACTCGTCTATATATGCTTGTTCTAATCCACATTATGCGTAGTTTTAGTATATGCCTAATGACTTGTTATACATTGTTTTTCCAGTTTAAATCATATCAAACAAATTGTAATAATCTCCTTTTCATTATAGGTACTGTGAAACTTGTAGTAAGATATACACCACGTATTCTTGAAGAGATGGAAGCACGTTTTGACAAGCAAAAAGCTCGACGTCGGCAACTTAGTTAATACAAATTTGGAGGTGTGTATGCATAATGCTGTGCTGTATCACTCACTAAATTATTTAGACTAACACTGCAGGTTGAGTTGTCTAATAACTTTCTTCAAATAGTTTGTTTTTTCAACTCTGTCTTTCTATTCTAACTTGTTACATTCTCATTAGGATCTGTATATAATTTGTTGTTTATATTAGTTTTTGATCATTTTGTTGATTTTCAATTTTTCATTATACTCTGTTTTAACATGCTGTAGTCATTTAGACAAAATATTTAATTCTTACGTAACAATGATTTCGATGACTTTAAAATAGAATATATGTCAAACTATAATTCAGTCATTAATCATTTATTTATTTGTGAAATTACAACTTAAGTTATTGAAGTAGGCTTGTAAGCTTGATCACTTGGTTTTTGATGACTTATGTTGACTGGTTATTGCTTCTAAATGTCTCTTATTAAAATAAATTTATGGGAATTTCATGGATTATGCTGAGACATGTACATGTATGGTATATGATCACTTCATCTTTGAGAAACTAACAATGGTAGAAATTCCACTGAATATATGTTTGTAGTTTAACGACTATTGTCTGTGGAAGCAAGTACTAGATTTGAGGCAATGGATGTAATGAGATACGAATGATCCAATAAACGTTAAAATGGGGATGTACGTAGTTGAGTTATCATTCTTGGTAAGGACACGTTATATAAGCGTACAAAGAGAGGAATTTACAAAATAAGACTACATTCGAGGCGAAGGAAATGAGATCAAATGACACCCAACTCTAAATTTAAATTAAGGTAGAGAATAAATGCAACTACGAATTCATCACGTCCGAGCTCCTAGTGGCCTTGGAAAATGGAAATGTGCCTTCGGGTCTAAATGGATATTTGAATTATTGGTTATCAATTCGCAAATTAGTTATGGTGTCCATTTAGAGTGAGGGCATACAACCACCTCTGTCCATTGTTCTATTCGAGCAGTGGGTTTAGGCAGGGTTGCCCAATCTCACCATTCCTCTTCAACTTTCCATGGATGACATTCTGGAGACAGCTCTGGTGGATCTGTCGTCTGGAGAAAGACTTCTCGACCTTGAGTATGCGGATGATATTGTCTTACTGTGCAATAACGCCCAAGTCACGCAATCCGCACTTAATCAGTTGGCAATCAGTGTCCGTGGGTATGGTATCTGCTTTGCACCTTCTAAGTGCGAAGTACTTCTATAAGTCTGGCAGGATTCCAATCCTGTACTCACCCTGGATAGTGAGCAAATAGTAGTCGAGAATGTCGTGTATCTAGGTAGCTGGTGGTGGCGTGAGTGACGAGATCAGTTCACGTATAATGAAAGCCAGAGCGGCTTATGCCAATCCGGGCCCCTTTTGGCGCTTTCGTGATGTCAGTCTGGCTGTAAAGGACTGGCTTCTGTTGGTCCTTCACGACTCCCTGGTTGGGGTCCGAGAGATGGTGCTACACAGTGGCTAGAGACATTATCAGATATGGCTCAGAATAGAAGCCAGTGGCGATCCTGCTGCAATCTTCTTTTACTTTCTTCATAAAAAGTGGTTGTCCCCCTTACCTGAAAGATTTCTTCCGATTGTACCTTTCCGTTCCCGCATTATTACTATTATTATTACTACACTCCCTTACACCAACCTCTTCGTTATTGTTCTCTTTTTTGCGCCCCCTACCTTCTCTTTAAATTCTCATTGTTTTGTGTGGCGCTCTCTTGTACCAATATTTATGTGTCCAAATAAATAAATAATATGGTGTCTAGGTCACGTCCTCCACGCATAGGCACAATATATAATAAACCCCGATGGAGAGCGAATTCGCAGTTTTCCTCTAGTCATGACTGTTAAGGTAGGCCATATTAGTGGATGCAGATTGCCTAGTTCGTATTCAATCGATCACCGTAATCAATCATTGGAGTTGAGCGACATGGGTCAGAATCAGTACCAGATAAATTCCTTGTTTCCTGCTTAGAAATTATTCTTACTTTCGCCAGTTCGTTTTTCTTCGAATCAGACTGTTTGCGCTTAACGCTTTTTTACTACTACAGATACTGCTACTAATTCTAATGCACTGGCACTTGTGTAAGCAGTTTTATCTCGATATGATGTGGTGTGACAGTAACTTATGTACAAAGTTCTGTGTTGTTTACGACTGAATGCCAACATTACAATTGACAAACTCAATAAAACTGTCACCAGAGAGGGTGTCGCACAAAGTCAGGAAATAAGCTGTCAAGTTTCATGAAGATGCATGTAGCACATTGTGATCATTTAAATGCAACCATACAAAACAAAATCACAGTTTATTACCGTAAACATACATTACTGAGTACAGAAATATTTAGGAGCATAATTTCGTATAATTAACATAATTGCCACAGATATAATAGTTTAAAACATTTGACAAGGAAAACGAAAATACAAGTGACTAAAGTTAGAAATTAAAGTAGTTTACTAACAAAAACTGGTTTTTATAACATTAGTTTTATATTGTACGTAGGGAGTCCAATGAACAACAAGAATATCATAGATATTGACAAACTAAAGTAAACCTGCTTTTTACATTTTTAAAAAAAAGGAAGAATAGCTACCTGAAATTCCAAGACAAACACAACAATGAAGTGCACTCTTAAAACATATAGTAAGCAACAGACAAAATGAATCAGAGCATAAGGTTGATGCTATTGTTGGGCGGTGGTCGTTCATATTCAGCTGGTATTTTAAAGGCACATTTTTGGTTCTAACTGTTGTGCAATGTATATCACAGCTGTTCCACATCTGCACGAAAGTCACCATATCGCCAAATGTTTTTACGTTCTTTTTTTGCTAGTGCTTGCGCATCTAGATACTTGTGGAGCAGATTGCGTGGTAGTCGTTTAAGAAGCTGAGGCTGGATAGGTTCAACACAGACCAAACCATTAGACAACAGTGACTCACTGATGTCTATGTCGTTTGGACAGACAGATGACCCAGATGTTTTAAGATCTGCAACTGGTAGCAATAGTGTCACTGCTGGGACAGGTTTCAGTGATTCGTTTCCACACGGTACTGATTCGTACTGAACAGCAAGTCTCAACTGTTGAAAAAAAGAAGACTAAAGTAATCGAACAAGCGGACTTGGGTGCATTACAGTTTACTCAAAATCTACTGGTTTATATTTCCTGAAAAATATGGGGATATTTTACCTGAAGACGGAGTAGACCACTTTTTCAGAAACACATATCTTGAAATGCAGATAAAGCATCGAGAAGGGAGGATTTCTGAAAAATGATAATTTTCATGAGTCGATAAATTTAAACTACTACAACGCTGTTATAATTTCTATAACGACCCAGCTAATCTTATTGCTTATTCTTGGAAGCTAATTCACTCGATAAGTACCCATATCAGAACACAATTGAGCAGGAAGGTATTTATATTCCAAACAAGAAGGTTGTATGGAAGTAGGAATCACAATAAGAAAAACGTTAGTATATTCATAATTTTTACATAGGGAGATTCTAGAGTCTTCCAGGTATCCATTAGCGCTTGTTGGATAAGAAATAGTTAATCAGCATACCCCAACACGATCCTGCACGGAACATGTCTTGATCCAATCTGAATTTCGTGAACAAACGCAAGGACCAACTACAGGTTTGCTAGGGATTAAATCTCTTTGTGCAAGGGATATTAACCAACTGTTCAAAAATCACAGTAGGTGGAGTGGTGCTCAAAACTGAGTTGAAAACCAAGTCCCAACTAATAAGCCTTCATTTGAATGATTTGATAACCGTTCTGAGCTTTAAAGGGTGATGCTAACAGGGAATGTATCTAAGTGGCATATAAGTGAGCAAAATAAATGTGTTCAGATAACGCATCGATTTATACGTGCTACGTGTAGAAGTCAGTCAGCTACAACGTAGGACCAGGCATATATATGCATCGGTCAAAGTTGCCACACAACAAGATGAACACCGAATTCATAAAAGTAGTTAATTCAGAGGTGGTAATATCTAAAGAAAGATTGCAATAAGGATATAGTACAGGAAGAAAAAATTAGTTCGTAGAAAGAAAGATATGAAGCGATTTTAATCTCTTAGTTTAAGGGAAGATAGAAAGTGTATACACCGACGCCACTGCGATCGATTCTGAGCCATGTCACCAAGAGTCTCCAACCACTGGTTACGATAGTCACGCGGAACCCAACCAAGTAGTCTGCATCTACCAACATGGCTCAGACTAGAAGTTAGTGACTTCAAGCACTGATGCCACGTTTTGGTTTGGCCGCCCCTAACTTTCTTCCAACCATCCCGAACACCGGTTAGCATTGCACGTCGTGGTAATCGGTGTTCGGGCATACGTAACACGTGGCCCGACCATCTCAGTCGATGAAGTTTAACAACCTCATCAACTGATTTACCATCATTCCCTAATACCCTGCGTCTAACCTCGCTATTACCTACCCGGTGATCTCAGCAGACGCCAGCAATATTTCTGAGGCATCTGTGGTCAAATACAAGTAGCTTACGAGTGTCTTCTACTCCTAATGGCCATGTTTCTCTGCCGTAAATTAAAACAGAACGGACTGTCGCGCAGTATACTCGTCCTTTTATTGATAGACGGATATCTCGCCTTCGCCATAGGTGACGTAAGTTGGCAAAAGCCAAGCGAGCTTTTCGAATCCGTGCTGAGATTTCGTCAGACACCAACCCATTAGGGCTGATCAGACTTCCAAGATAAGTGAAGTTGTCAACGCGTTCGACTACTTCACTCCCTATCCTTAGTTCAGGTGTTGACGCAGATCAGTCCTGAAGCAACAACTCGCATTTAGAGGGAGAGAAGCGTATTCCAAACATTCTGGCATTGTTGCTACCTTGACGTGGTGGTCGGCCTTGCCTATCGTGATGGAGCAACCGAGCTATACTGGATGGAACAACCGTTCCTCAAGGTCCTACCATGTCAGACAGGTCGGTTGATGAGCGGTAAGACTAAAAGCAACAAACCCAAGGTCCGAAGGCGAAGTCGTACTGCTGACTGTACAGAGGTGTGACAGCAGTAAGATGTTTCCTTCAGACAACCAGCATGACAGCGATGCTGTCTTCCAACAAAAGGTCGAGCCCTAAAATACACACCTCGCCTTATCCCACGGATATCCGTCTCCGGCGGTCAGGTCTCAACAAGTACGGAGCTAACACAAAAATTACCCATAAAAAGGTCGTGTGTGACCGACCTCAAGCAGTTGTCCCTTGGGCACTGCGGTCACGCTCCCAGGTCACTAAGACCACCTCTAATCCAATTTCCTTTTCAGGCACCTACAGAACAACCCTTCCACGGTGTGGGCAACTTGAAATGATAACTGCCCTCATACCTCTAACAGCACTCAAGACCACTGTATTCATAATCAACCGTCTTTACGTGTAGAAGTGTACGGTATTAAACACCTGAACGAATCAAAATTAATAACAGACATAATCTAAGAATTACTAAGCGTATATCTGTAATTTGGTTATGAATTAGATACTTTGATTTTATCCAACGGTACGCAGACGTTATTAATACGCATTGTACTTCAATGAGAGTCTTATAAAACGAAAAACAAAAGATAAACCCAGTGCAAACACTTCACCTACTTCTTTGTTTTCAACGAGGTCGCAGAAAGCACGCTCCGCAAACACACGATCGGAAGCATCGGGAGGAAGTTGAACAAATGCCAAACGATACTCTTTCATTTGTGGTGGAAGTTGCATTAGTGGGCCAGATGGAAGAGGAGAAAGACGTGATGAATACTCAGCTGAATCGATTACTTCTTCATTACCAAAGTCAATAAACTGAACTGTAACAGATTTGGGTGAACTACGAATGACACGTGCTCGGTACCAGCAATTATCTAAACTGAAACATGCAATACACAGACTACCTTTTTTAGGGTAGTATTCTGATGGGAATGAAGGAAATGATTGGCTATTCAACATTTGACTAATCTTGACCAGGGTGCACGCATCTGATAAGTGTTGAGCGAAGAATCGAAGACCCTGACTACCAGAAGCAGGTCTGGAGATTCCGGTAATTTGAACAGGTTTCCATGATAACTGCTATAAAAAATGATTAAAGAGTGGTGTTTCACACTTTAGATTTATATAATATCATGCACGATACAATTGTTTAACATTTGTTAATGGATTTTTTAAGAGAATCTTATTTTGAGGTAGATGAATGTTTAATACTTAGGCACCGATATATATATATATATATCACACATCAGCTACAACGTAGGACCAGGCACATACATGCATCGGTTCAAGTTGCCATACCTCATTAGCACAGCAAGATGAACACTGGGTTCATAGAAGTAGTTAATTCAATGGTGTTAATATATAAAAGAAAAATTGCATATAAGGATATAATACCGTTGTTGCTACCTTGAAATGGTGGTCGGGCTTGCCTATCATGATGAATCAATCGAGCTATACTGGATGGAACAATCGTTCCTCAAGGTCCAAAAGCGAAGTCGTACTACTGACTGTACAGAAGTGTGACAGCAGTAAGATGTTTCCTTCAGACAACCAGCATGACAGCGATGCTGTCTTCCAACAAAAGGTCGAGCCCTAAAATACACACCTCGCCTTATCCCACGGATATCCGTCTCCGGCGGTCAGGTCTCAACAAGTACGGAGCTAACACAAAAATTACCCATAAAAAGGTCGTGTGTGACCGACCTCAAGCAGTTGTCCCTTGGGCACTGCGGTCACGCTCCCAGGTCACTAAGACCACCTCTAATCCAATTTCCTTTTCAGGCACCTCCAGAACAACCCTTCCACGGTGTGGGCAACTTGAAATGATAACTGCCCTCATACCTCTAACAGCACTCAAGACCACTGTATTCATAATCAACCTCCCTCTTCAATTCTTATTCGTATATAAATAATTCGCACATTTATGTTCTTACTTTGGAAAATTAAAATATATGCAGGGAGAAAATATTGTATCCCCAAAAAATTCAAAGATCATGCTTCATACCTTAATATTATCATTATTGATCACAGTTGTCGAATCACTATTTTCATTAAGTTGTAGTTCTGATAAGTCGTCCAAATATTCTGAGAAACCAGTCAGTGGAATAAGACTACCGTCCTCTGCACCGCTCAAAGCAGTGGGATCTGAATTATTTTGGACTTCGGCTTCCCATTCCTTTACAAACTGATCGGATGACCACAAACCACACCGATTGATTTTGGCATCTTCTTCTGCTTTTATCATATCGTGATAGTGAGGTGATCGTTCGGTTGTGGGAGCCCGATGAACAGTACCGAAACCTTGAGATATTAGTAAGACAGTTAGATTTGTTTTTTGTCTAACAGTAGTTTCGGCAACCTTTTTTTTCTTTTTCTTGCCTGACGACTTGTTAATATCTGGTCCATTGTTAGACAGAGAAGGAATGTCCACGAAAAGATAGCCAACGAAATTCCCTACTCTATCAATTGTTTCTACCTTAATTTCAACGTTACGATGCATGCACAATTCCTTAACAAACGTGTAAGCCTCGTTACTGAATGGCATATCGGGTAAAGCGACACCATCTGGACCCACTCTAATAATTTAAAGAACAAACAGATTTTCTAGTGTTAATAACAACCAAATCTTAGGGAAAAAATCTGTACAAAAGGAAACCGGATAAACAATAGGAGTGTTGAAACGGAAAAAAATGATGAGCAAGCACTTAGGGAATTCGCTCAACTTAATAAGTAGACGATCACTTACTATTACATGACCTACTATAACAATGAATTATTTTGACTGTACAACATTAGAGTTGTGAAGGGTAGTTAAAAAGTATGGATAAACAGAGAATAGTAGGAGTAATGTCTTCGAATGCTTTGGTAAGTAAGGACAGTCTGTTGTCCCTCATGAATGCTGTCATATAGTCACCCGCCTACAGCCACTATCAAGAAAGTTCTATTCAGTTCCTTTTGTTAGCGTGAGTGTAATTTATGGAGGTGAAAGGACGAAAAGTCGATGTCTGGCGCTTAAACCGGGATGGTGGTTAAGAAACGTCTACCTAAGGGGACTGAAAAAAACTTCACCAAAAAAGAATGGCGAGCATGGGCTCCAGAACCCTGAGGAACCAAATGTTGCAAAAACCTACTCCTGTTCACAATAGTAAGAACGCTAAAGACAGTCACAAGTGGAAATTTATTCCCTTCAAAACACGACAATAGCCGAAAGTACACTCATTTGTATATCGATATGTACACTTATTCGATTATTAGTTACAAAAGTCACATATGAAAAATGAGCGAAATTATATGAACATCAAAATGCAGATAGATTGGGTTGTCTTTGGTAAGTATCAATATCAACGTTTGCTGTATCTCTGAGACCTGTATTTCAGATTTTTTAAAAATACTAGAATTTTTTTCACCATACATCGATTCGAAAATTTTGTTAACCATGAACCTATCTGAGTATCCGGTAGCATTTTTAGTCGATTTAGAAAGCATTGGTTTTGCACTAAGTGCCAGGAAAGAGGTAGTACTAATCGACTGTCGTTTATGTTTTGTTAGATGCGAAGAACTTATAAAAGAAGTCAGTGTGGAAAACGAGGCTCCGCCTACATTGTGACAGATTTCAGCGTAACTAAAATCGATGAGCTCCACCATCAGTTAAATGTTTAGATGTAACAATAGTAACTGGAGACTTCAGCACACAAGTTGGGGGACTAGGCATAAAGGAAAGTTACTTTTGTTGTTGACTGGGACTCGTTAGTCAGACAACGAAGTTTTGCGCAGATGGCAATCTATTTTTGGCTAGGACTAACTTGATTTGCATAAATCAAGTGACCCGTGTGGCGCATATGTATTCGGTGCTCCTTTGTACCAATGTTTATGCGTCCAAGTAAATAAAATAAACTAGTACTAACTCCTGTAAAAGTCATCGCTGTTGTCATACCTATTGTTCTTTCTCTAGAACTGAAGCTGGAATAAAGATTGACTGAATAGCGATTGTGTATAAAACTCCCACTGATGATGGAGCACTTTTTCGGACTCATTTGATTTGCTTAAATCTTGCCTTACATTTCAGTGCCCATCAAATTCAGCATTCTAGGTGAATCGATGTAAGCGAAGTGGCTGTTGCTTACGTTGAAACCAAATATTAAACCGATCTAGGTTAAAGGCAAGCCATTAGCCCACCCAAAAGTATAGATTAGAAATGATTGCTTTAAAACAACAGCTCCGGTAGCTTGTACGTGTGTTCAGGACGTCATCCCAGCAAATTCCACATTGTAAATCATTTCTCGAAACTGGGACAGGTTGGAAAAAGCGTAAAGGTGGCCAGTTTATAAAAGAAAATTCTATAGGATCGGCACATGACGGCCTTTAATAGGCAATCCAGGTTTTAATCAACAACATTCAATTTCGCTAAAGGACCTATACTGACCAAGTGACAGTACTTAAACTCTGCGTACGTTTGAGGTGGAGAGAAGATATTTAAATTAACGTTTACACTTTCTCAACTATTGTTTTTAAAAATGTATACATTGATAAAATGAACATACCTTCCCCGGCGTGGACACTGAATACCTCCAAGCAACAGTGTAATTACGCATGTCTCTCGAGGTATATAAATACGGAATCTGCTTGCACTAAATACAAACTCTACCACACCGTCCAATCGCTCAGCACGTTGTAGAAAAGATAAAAACTGTCTAGATTTAGCTACATTCCCTAAAATTTTAAAAACGATCACATCGTTTTACATGACCTCTTATTGAGATAATAATAATTAAAAACGAAATCATAAAACAAACATGAGAAGGGGTACTAAAGCACAAGTGTCTTAGTGACTTTGAACCGATAGGTCGCACTCCTGAAAGCTGTTCTGTCCATTCTGATTCAGGTAACCGGGAAGGACTGTTACTACATAAACCTATTACATCGAAAATATTATCAATTACTTACAAAAACAAAGTGTAATACAGGTTTAAGCAACTGCTGGGACTAAAGATTACATAATGCGACAAAATTTAGATAACAGTAAATTGAGGATAGCGAGTAGATGCCCTTTTAGGAAATAACAGACGGAAATTAACAAACACTGATTCTAGGAAATAAAAGTATATTGGTTGATATAGTTCTTGTAGTGGCAACTGAGTGGTAGAAATTATGGAATTATATAGACTGATTATATAGACTACGATTAGCGTCAGATTCCCAAATTGGAAGTTTTCATCTAGCTAGGTGACTTCAGTTAGCTGAAAATGGGATTCCCTTACCACGTTTTCCCCTGATCTAATTTCTACGTTAGCCAGCATTAAGCGTCAAAATAGTTAGTGGTTAACCATAAATGTTTCATCTAACAGGTCAGTGTTTATAAAGCAACTATGCGAAGTTGGAGTGAACTGCTATTTTTACCAACAATCAAGCACATTATTTCGATAAAGTGATTTGCATAATTGAGTATTATTATTATTATTTATTATTTTAACACATAGATATTGGTACAAGGAGGCACCAAATACATATGCGCCACACAAATCTCATTCGATATGTGTGAGGGCTGTGATACTGCCCGGGTGCCCAAACCGAAGCAGGAATTGAGTACCTCACTCCATATGGTTAGAAATACCATAGGTACAGACAGTTCCCAAACCTTTGTAACGCTTCAAGATCATCGCTGTCTCCGAAGGATTGCTGACATCCAGTGGCAACACCATGTCAGTAATGCAGAGGTTCGGCATCATGTGTTCGGGCACAGAGACGATAATGCAATTGGTGTCACCATCTTGAAACACCGACTTCGGTGGCTTGGACATGTCCTACGAATGTCGTCCCAGAGAATTCCACGTCGTGCATTATTTGCCGACTCTGGAACTGGTTGGAAAAAGCGGAGAGGTGGTCAGTGCATGACATAGTGTCGTGGTATGAAAGAAAGCTGCAAAGGACTGGCTTGTCGGTCCTTCACGACTCCCTGGTTGGGGTCTGAGAGATGATGCTACACAGTGGCTAGAGACGTTACCAGATATGGTTCAGAATAGAAGCCAGTGGCGATCCTGCTGTAACCTTCTTTTACTTTCTTCATAAAAATGGTTGTGTCTCCCTTACCTGAAAGATTTCTTCTGATTGTACCTTTCCGTTCCCTCGTTACTACCACACTACCTTACACCAATCTCTTCGTTATTGTTCTCTTTTTCTTTTGCGCTCCTTAGTTTTTTTTTCTATTTCTCTTCGAATTCTCATTGTTTTGGGTGGCACATATATATTGGCGCTCTCTTGTACCAATATTCATGTGTTCAGACAAACAAACATAGGTACAGACAAGTTCTGAAGTAACATTTCGCGCTTGAGAGATTAGAAACGCACTTGAAAGCATTTTGACGTCACTCAGTGGGTGAAGCAGTCCTATTGCGTATGCAGCCAAAATAATCAAAATGGTCATTTGCGCAACCAGTAAAATAATAACTTTGAATATGGAAACTCCCTGAAAATCAGTTATTGAAAGTGTCGTGTTTATGAAGTCAATACAAAACCTTCTGACTGTCACAAGGGAAATTACAAATCACGAGTCAGACTGTATGTATGAAGACCTAAAAAAGATAGTTTGGATAACATACCGACAAAGATAACCGTTTCGTCTTTAGCTGTCTCATAACTACTCATTTAAACGAAATGATTGGAATGTACATGCCGAAACCAAACGGTACAGAAAACAAATGGATAAAGTCAAAATAATACAAAAAATATTACCTGTGAGATCGGCAACACGATGAATCGGGGGATCTTGTTTGCTATACATTCCGAGTCCCTTAGACTGTGCATTTTCTTCTGCCGCAAGAAGTTCACCGTAAAATACAGAACGAGAATCATTAGCGTTTCGATAACGGACTACAGAGGCCAGACCTTTTGAAACTAGGGTCAATGCAAGGTTGACATCATCAGCTCGCACTGTAGCACAAACACGTTCGTCAACAGTATTAGATGTCTTCGGTTGAATGTAATCAACTTGAACAGTTACCTGTATATCAATGATACAACAGTTACGTACTAATAAAGTATGTTTTCTGTAACCCTAATGAACTACTGTTTTATGGAATATTTTGTAAGGTACGGGTAATCATTTGATTCATTGAAACTTGACTTACTTGTTTTCCGACGAACTGGCGAAGTACCTCTCTAGCTTCAAACACATAAGGTATGTCGTAAAGCGGACGAATACGACCACGTTGGACAGAAGAATCGTCTTCCTTGCTGCTGGTCTGTGGTCGTGGAGCTCTTATGCTGGATAGAAAGAATTTATGGACACCATCTGAACATTTGATAGAGACGTTATCACCGTTTCCGACTTCACATATCTGAAAAAAACAATACACATAGATCCAAGTCTTTTTAGCTAGAAACAGTGAGTCCTAAGTACTAAAATTAAGTCCAACCTGAAAGAGGCTCCGAAATAACATGTTCACAATACCATAGTTTGAAATGACATGATAGAACTGACACTGGTGCAGTAATTTTTTCACCAGAATACACAGATAGTTAAGATCAGCACAATTTTCATGGTTAAAAAAAACGATTGGCAGCCTAAGTCGTTATTTACTTAAACTCGTAATCTACATCGCCATGTGCAAAAATATCCTAAAACGAAGGGGAGAATATGACATCGCACGAAGATGGCTGAGGTGCCAAGAGGGAACCGAAATAACGTTATCCTTATAGCCAAGGTCCATTTAGCTTCAGATTACTTTCAGTAGATACACACAAATCAAATTATCTGTGTGGCGCATATATATTTGGTGCCCACTTTCACCAATATGTGTCCAAATAAATAAAATAACAAATAAAGTTGGACAAGCACTCACAATTCCACTGAATATTTTCCCTGGAACAACTGTTTGAAAACTGTCTGCATGTACTTCCGTTGTTTGTGTGGGCTGGTAGTTTTCAAACACGCGTAGTCGCTTTTCTTTCGCAAGTCTTTCAGCTATTTTATAGGCTTCAGCAGCACCTGGGACGCTTACTAAGTTTAGATTCCAATCAATACAGTGAGCAAGACCATGACGCAGCAACAACTCAGCTATATTTCCATTTGGGTGGAGGATGCTTCCGACGAAAGTTTGATTAAATACGGATTCCAACAGTATAGTAACGTCTCTCTGTAGCAGTCTGGATTCGGTAAAGAATAACGCATCGAGACCCCACGCGTCGGGAACCTATAAACCATGAAACAACGATATGCTAACTCACAATTTTTCCATCCTCATAACGTATCGATGGAGATTTAATCCCTGACATTGTGACAGTAACGTATACAAATGTATTTGGCTTTTCATTAAGGGATTCAGGTAGAATGAAGACTTGTACAGAACAACCATCTCGAACATTTTCGACGACAGCTTTAAGTGGTCGGTTTTTGTAGCTCTCAAAGAAGCTGCGAGTATTCTCGACTGACCAAAGGATTTCTCTTGTAACAGGGAGGTTGGGAGACCAACGACCCTTACCAAGTGACTTTGCCTGTTCTTGAGCGGTTACTAGTTGCTGGTAAATTTTATTTTTGGCAGCTACTGTCGGATTTAGCTTTCTCACTTCAGCTAAGCCTTGTTCCACTAAGGACAAAGCAACATTTTCTCCACTGATATTTTTCCCTGATGTAAGGATAAATAAACTAGCTTAAAACGTACCAACATACACACATCCATATTTGCGACCAGATGGCTGTTCTGTTTCGACAGAATAGCAAACTTCTTTACCAACTAAAAGAGTACGAACAAACTCTCTGGCCTCCCAAGCAAACGGATCTTCTGGTGTTCCAGTGGGAATTCCCGTCGACGGCTTACGAGCAACGCGACCACATGATATATTGGACAAAATAATGGTTCGTTCTGGAGGTGGACCATTTATGGGTCTGTCACGTATTACAATAGTATCTCCCGATAAGACCTATAAAATGGAAATAGCCGTATTTAAAAAAGCTCAAATTGCATCTTGTATGTTAGAAACTATTGACCTACTCAAAAAAATAATGTTATTATAATGAACAAATCAGTGTATGAGCTACGTACTTGTTTCACTATCCCCAAGAAATATGTGGTTGTGCTGACTGGTCGTGCCTCTTCTCTATTGTTCACGAGAGAAGACATAGTTAATACGATACTCTCCTATGATAATAGTAACAAACACGTGGCAACACACAAATTGAATAGTTCACGACCATATGTGATGAGTAAAACAAGCATTCGCGCTAGCTTCAAATGATTACGGACTGGATGAAAGAAAGCTTAAGCTTATCTGGCTTCTAATTCTTGTGTCAATGAATAACCTTTGTCTCTATATAGTGATCCATATACAGTTCAAATGGTTCAAAAAGGTTGTGGACAGAAAAAATAAGCTTTCGCCTAACGGGCTTCTGTGTCTAGCAGCAGTGGATCACCAATATCTCCATGCAGGTGCCGAAGTATATGAGCGATAAAAGAGGTAAAATAAAATGGTAAATCATAGTAATATACTATCCTTGGTCCTTAAGAATAGGTCGAATTTCCTTTCAAAGGACTCCTGCGAAGTCGCTCGGATTAGCTCAGCCGGCAGTGAATTCCATCATTTGACAACTCTTGAGGAGTGGAAGTTGTGTCTACAGTCCGTTCCTCTGTGTCGTGCCTTCAGTTTCTGCGTATTACCTTTGAGCTTGTGAAGAAGCTGAGCATAAGTGGGTATTTTGTAGGACACTTAGAAGTATTTAGGATGTTAAATGGCATTGAATGCCCGCTATCGAGTCGTCAAGATTTTAATGGGTAATGATCCGATGACTCAAGGGACTATTCACTAGACTTGAATTTGAGTTTACTCTAACTGATTTCGCAGCTCGCCACTATATATTGTCCGGAGTATTCTTATCCCTTTAGTTGAGGAAGAAACGTTATTTCAATACCTTAAATTTTGGTGAATAGAAGTATTAAAAACTGGGTAAAAAGTGCTGATCTAAACTTGCAAGACACATACCAAGGATACCAGATCACGGTGTGCTCTGAAGATATTTTTGTCTAAGCCGGCACAGTGATGTAGATCATAGCATGCTAATACTTCTATATCTGAATGTGTTTTGTGGAGATTTTTAGAAATTTTCACAGATTGAACTCATGAGTCAGTTGAAGCTAGACCACCATTGAAAACCTGGAAGCACTGGACGGCCGTCTCGTCCTAGTATGGGACTCCTCGGCAGTGCGCATCCACGACCCCGCACCACCCGGGGCTCGAACCCAGGACCTACTGGCTTCGCGCGCGAGCACTTAACCATTAGACCACTGAGCCGGCATCCAACTGACTCATGAGTTCAATCTGTGAAAATTTCTAAAAATCTCCACAAAACACATTCTGATAATAACAATCACCTGCTCACTAGTGACTGACTTCAGGAGACACTTCTGGAGTTCTAGTGAGAAGTCGTTACCAGTGGAGTTCAACCAGGTCTGTTGTGAGATAGGAACTCACTGAAGACGATGATGTACGGTAGCGCAACTTCGTGGATTGGTTGAAGTTAGACATTAACACCGTTGGATGCCGGCTCAGTGGTCTAATGGTTAAGTGCTCGCGCGCGAAGCCAGTAGGTCCTGGGTTCGAGCCCCGGGTGGTGCGGGGTCGTGGATGCGCACTGCTGAGGAGTCCCATACTAGGACGAAACGGCCGTCCAGTGCTTCCAGGTTTTCAATGGTGGTCTAGCTTCAACTGACTCATGAGTTCAATCTGTGAAAACTTCTATATCTATTTCGACGCGGGATACAAGGCACGATTACTCCTAGAACGAATAATATTGTCGAACCTTTTTATGATCAAGAAAGTTGGTGAGTACTTCCATTCATGTGGTCAACAACAAACAGAAATATCGCAGTTTGGTCTACAGCGCACTGTCCTTACGAAAGCCTCCTTATCGATTTCGGAGTTGAAGGTCTACCACAACTTTCATGCGGCTCACCCATACTATGTTGAAAACCTTGCATGTTATTGGCAGTAGTATTGTGCTTCTGTAGTTCTCACAGTTATTACGATTTTCACTTTTCGATATCTTGGTTGGCCATCCTTATTTCTGGTCGTCGGTGACACATGTATGCCAGTGGTGATCCAATGATAAGTTAGAGTTTAAGAAAATTATATTTTAGTTCAAATGACGCAAGTTAATTAGCATGTAGCGGTAAGTCCCCGAAATAAATAGTTCTGTAGTTTTTCGACACTGATGATGACCTCAATAATTGCACTGGACACATCTAGCTGAAGGTGCTGGGTCACTAACCCGCGTCAGATCACGAGTGGGTACTCCATGCCATGCAACTCTTGCAACTGTTAGCCAGCTCAGATTAAAAGCTTCCAGATATATAGATAATCCTTCAAGTATATCTTCAAACACCTTCATTTCTGACTTCTGGTTTGACTGGGTTGGAATAGTTTAATCATAAAGCTGTTACGTGTAAAAGCGTTGTCAAAATCCAAATAGCTGTGGCAGCTTTAGTGATAAGGCCGATGTGATCTGGCAAACCAAACCGAAAACTGTGAATCTGTTCCTTGTTAAAACACTACACAACATTTCTTCAAATTTTATTTTTACCTATCAAGTTAATTTATTCATATTTATTTGCAGTTTTTTCTCCTCCTTTGGTACATAATATCTTCATCATTGTGCAACAGAAACTCGAGTTACTTGAAAACAAACATCTTTCACCTCCCACCATTCAGCTAATGCTGTTCTTGCCCGATAATATAGAAGCCTCTTTCTGTTACGCAGAAGCTGACTTCCATGAGCACGGTGTGACTGACCCATGTGCACAACTTCTCACAGTGTTGAAAGTAGGACCGCGCAATTTCAACGGGTACGTCACACCTAGTATGCTTACTTGTGATGTTTTAGAACCTTAATAGAAGTTTAAAAAGGGATGTCCTTCAATGTGGAGACCTGTAGAATTATGGCTTACTTTATTATTAGTACTGCTCCAATAATAGACCTAATCCTAAAATAGCAGATTTGTCGTGATGGAACTGCCTAATCTACAAGATCTTATGTGGAAGTCACATTGCTGTCTTCACTGACTCATCGTATCATAACAATCACCAATATATGGCGGAGAACACATTTAGGCTGGAGACAGAACAACTTATTTATTATGAATAAAAACAAGTCATACAGAATGACCACGCCTGCAAGGCTGAGCGATACCACCGATTGAACTGCGTTTCGGAAGAATGTTCCAATTGTAACGGAGAGAGAACGATCAAAATCCCTCTGCAGCTTTGCTGTTGAACAGTACTGTCATTTATTTGTTTCTTCTTGTCGTGTATTTTAATCTTTGTTCAGACCTCGTTTAACCAGACTTTTTGTACTTCAGTCTTACTCGTCTGAACTTTTATAATGTGATTTTGATTAAAGACTTATCTTTTGTCACCTAAGTTTCTATTGTATGTTGCCGGACTATTGACAGTAAAGTCGTGTTTGACTAAGCTCAAGATTACGATGTGGTCCAGATTGTGGCTGTGTTACGAGGTTAAAATCACCATATATGGTGATGTTAATTGATTCTATTTTTCTTTCTATTGCAGGGCGACCAAGAATAAATACCTTGGAAGAAGAAGAACAAGCTCTGCATGCACTGAACCTACAGGATGACTCATAAGACTGTTTTGTAAACCAGCTTTCTTTCCTGTATATAGCTAGTGAATTTTAATTTTCAAATAAACGGCTGGTGGTTTCCATTCTGTGCCCTCTCTCTTGGTGTGAAGTGCTTGGTTAACATTGTGTGTTGTGGTTTCAGGTCCTCTCAGCCTTTCAGTGACTGCTGATTACACGTGTTACAGCTATTAACACTTTGACTGTCTGCTTGGGAGGATTGCCAGAATCCCTGCAGATAGATATTTGACTCCATCTTGTTGGAAATATTTTTATTGATTTTCAGGTATCGAGCCGTTTGGTATTAACTGTTTCGTTTATTGTTTATCGCGCTACTTTGCGTTAGAGATACTTCTGACCGTATAGCATAGGCTGTACCGTTCGAGGTATTTTGTATTTTTGTTATAATTTATTCTACTTCCTAAATTAGAACCGTTTATATTGAGCACAGAGTTTGTATTTTGACATAATTTAATACGAGTATCTCAAAAACACTTGGTACGCTATACAGAAGAACGTAGTCTGGCCTATTCCAATACATTTTGGATCGTCGGTCCTGCGTTCAAAGCGAATACTGGCAGTTCGGTCGTTACACCCATGTTCGTCATTATTGACCTCTTAGTGTTACATGATGAAAGCCTGTTTTCCTAGTTATCTCATGTTCAGCTTTTGGGACTGTGGTAAGAGCCCAATACCACTACACTACTCCCCGACCAGAATCAACTTGGCGTTGGTTCGATACCAAATCAAGTATGATTGTCGCGTGCCGGAGGTAACCAGGAATAATAAGAATCTACCGGGTATTGATAAGCTCAAAGATAAATCAGAAAAGAAGTGGTTTAATTCTTGACGTGTGCGAAATGCAAATTTAGGTCAAAATTATTTGAGCCGGACAAAGTGGGATTATAATAATTAAGAATGGTTCCGCGTAGGTATATTTTAGTAAGTCTCCTTAAGATGCGTAGTAATAGCCTTTGGCTAATAGCTTGTAGGTAGTTCACGTATTTTGTGTTTAGAAATATAAGAACAACTGTTAATATTGGTATTATTTTTGGCTTAAATCATAAAGTCAGCTAACGATCATGCCAGTAAACTGTCCGTATGAGTTGATTTCCAATTGCGTCTGTATTAGTAGGCTAACTGGAAGAACAAAAGCATAGCCATGGAAAAAAGAATTCTAACAATTGTTCCAGATAATTTGTCATGTTTTATACGGTTTACTTAGTTACGAGATTTCATCGACCTCATAAAATTCAGTAATACTACTAATACATATGAATAGTTGTCGAAAAACTTCGCCTGTAGCTCTTATAGGGTTACTGCCGGTCCCAAGCCCGGGTAAAGGAGGAGGGTTGGGCATGGGGTTAGCGTCCCCATCCCGTAGAAAACTAACTCGCTAAAAAACGCTTACCAGAAAAAATAATTCAAACCATTTTAACTCTGCCCTGAGAGTTAGAAGGTCTTCATTTAGAAGAATTATGACGCTTCATGGTGAAAGCCGAGTTCCTTCGGAAGCCATGAGGCCGATGCCCCTTCTAACAACCAGAGCAAAAATTTTTATAGGTACATGGAACGTCCGGACAATGTGGGAAACCGGGAA